ATAAAAATAGGTTAAAAGTGCAATGTTAAAAGGGATTAAAAAGTTAGAAGTTAAAATAAAAATAAAAGAAAATAATAATAATAAAAAAAGCTTTTGCTTTTGGAGGAGCTCTTTACAGCCTTTGAACAACTTTGGAGACAGACAATGGAGGAGATTCGAACCACTGAACTATATTTTTCAAAGATCCTGGAGCACAGGGAAACTACCAGAGGACTCTCCCTTCCAGCTCTGTTCTGATTGGTATTGATTTCCTGAGTCCTGCTCCTGGGCAAGGGTCTCCGGATAGACTGGGCCTGGCTGAGTGGGGGGGTGTGTGTGTTTCCACAGAGCCAGCGGGCGTCCAGGCCCTTCCTGCCTCCCCCTTTCCTCTTGTAGCCGGGAGTTCCGCAGGGGAAAGGAGCTGCGGCGCCGGCGGGGAGCGAGGGCAGCGCAGCCGGGCGGCGGGGGGGGGGGCGAAGCGCAGTCCCCGGGGAGCGCGATCCTTGATTAATTCGCCCGTCTAGACAGCAGCGGCGGCGACGGCGGCGGCTTATCGGCTCTGGCATCGCCTCTCCCAGCCAGACCGCGGCGGGGGAAGACGGGGGTGGCCCCCCCCGGATCCGGGGATTGACCTGATTCCCACCGGAGGGGGAGCTTCCCCCCCCCCAGCCTCAGCCTGGCCAGGGGTCTCGGGGGTGATCTGGTAGGGCGTGGAATTGGGGGGGGGGGTCCAAGGCAGGAATAGCCCCAGGGTCTCAGCCACCCCCTCTCCAGGGGCACAATGCGGGGGGGGGCCCTGGCAGCTCCCATGAAAAGGGGGGGGGCTTCTTTTCCGGGCAAAACCCCCCACCTTGCTAGCCAGGTAGAAGCTCTGAATAGGACTTTAGGCAAGGCTCTCCAACTTCGGCCAACTTTACGCCCGGGGGACTTCAACTCCCAGAATTCCCCAGCCAGCCAGCCACGTCCGCAAGGCTGAAAGTTGCCAAAGTTGGGAGACCCCCTTGCTTTAGAGGACCCGGCTTAGCTTCTCCCCCATCGGTTTTTCTCCCAGGCAACCCTACTTTCACCCCCCAAAAATCCCAATGTTTCGGTGGGGGGGTGGGTAGCAGCCTTTCTACATTAAGGAAAAAGATTTTGGGGCAAAGGATAAGTAGAAAAACCGTGCCCCCCCCCCTCCCCAGAAGCCTTATGGAGTCGCACTTCTGCACTGGCCTCGTTGAAATTTCAGCCACGGGGCAAATATTTATAAATATATAAGCTCAACATTCCACTTTTCCATGGGACAAGGATGCTCAAAGTGTTAATTACTAGCAGTAATTAAATGGAGGAAGAAACGGGAGGTATTTATTCATCATTCAATGAGATGCCACTAGAACAGGGGTAGGCAACCTTGGCTCTTTTATGACTCGTGGACTTCAACTCCCAGAATTCCTGAGCCAGCATAGCTGGCTCAGGAATTCTGGGAGTTGGAAGTCCACGAGTCATAAAAGAGCCAAGGTTGCCTACCCCTGCACTAGAATAAGCTGTTTCTGATCTTTGGACTGACAACTAGAGGTGGGGAGGGGGCCGAGACCCATGGCACTTGCAATGGGGGTTTATTCCAGTTCGGGACTGGTCTCTCACAACCGTCTGCCTTTAAGATGCAGAGAAAGTCTTTCTGGAAAAGAATATGGGGGTCTCGGCCCCGACCCAATGTGCTGGTTTATCTGATCTTAGGCAAGAGTCAGTCCATGTGAAATCACACTGTCTCCTCTGGGAAGAACAGTGACACCAATGATGAAGCAGAGAAGGAAGGTGAAAAATGATCGAGAATGATCCCCAAAAGAGCATCTACCCCATTTTGGGCCCTACAAGGCCATACTTGATTTCTGAGGAGCAGGAGAGCAACCTGTATAGGACTTTCATTAGGTAGACCTTGCAGAAGGCCCTCCAGGAGAAACATCTCCTTGGGTTTGGGTCCTGACTCTGGAGGATGGGACACTTGTATCTCAACACTACTTCTAGATAATCTCTTCCGGCGTGATGCTTCCAGATGTTTGGTCTTCAACACTTTTCACCCCTAGCTACCACGATTTTTATAGGAACTCAAGTCCAACTCTTGAGGAGGGAGCAAATTGGAAAGGAGGGCTTGTAGGATATCTACCAGAAGAGAGGAATATTCCTATTTATTTGGCCAAGAAAGCCTTCTGGGTAAACGTTAGATGTGGCAATCCGACTCTTTCAATTTAGTGACTCCACTTTTGCAGGTATTTCGATCCTTCACAAATGTCGATCAGAAGAAATATTCACGGGAAGAGATTAATGTACAGCACACAAACAGAGGCCAACTACAGAATTCAGAATGGCAGAAAATAGTCTACTCCTGAATTTATCACTGTGAGGAATAAGATAATCAGGAGTAAGAAGACCTGCTACATGTTATCTTAATCCCTGGAAATACTTCCTGAGGGGCGTATTTCATTTATTCGACCGATATCCTGTCTTTTTGTCCAAGAGCTCAAGGTGGCATTCATATATTTTTTTTATACCAACAGGAGATGCTGAGGGTGGGATGAGAAGGGGGGGGTGTCTTCCTGGTGGGAGCCTACCACTTTAACCCCTACCTTAAAAGCGATTCAGAATATGTACTTTGAACCTCACATAGACATACCACTTCTGGGCTGTTCATGATAGCATTGTTCCAATATTTGAGGGGCTGCCGTCAAGAAGAGGAGGGGGTCAACTTATTTTCCAAAGCACCTGAAGGTGGGACAAGATGCAATGGATGGAAAGTAATCAAGGAGAGAAGCAACCTAGAACTAAGAAATTTCATGACAGAACAATTAATCAGCGGAACAACTTGCCTCCAGAAGTTGTGAATGCTCCAACATTGGATGTTTTCAAGAAGAGATTGGACAACCACTTTTCTGATATGGTAGATGGTTTCCTGATGGAGTAGGGGGTTGGACTAGAAGACCTCCAAGGTCCCTTCCAACTCTGTTCTTCTGCCATTGCTTGACAGTGAGAACAATTAATCAACAGAATGGCTTCTCTCCAGAAACTGTGGGTGTTCCAACACTGGAGGTTTTTAAGAAGAGAATGGACAGCCCTTTGTCCAGAATGATATAGAGCAGTGATGGCGAACCTTTTAGAGACCGGGTGCCCAAACTGCAACCCAAAACCCAGTTAGGTATCGTTGGGTGCTGAGTGGGCGTGGCCCATTGGGTGGGTGTGGCCCATTGGGTGGGCGTGGCTGTGGTGGTAATGGCAGATTGGGTGGGACTAAAAAGTTCAATCAATCAATTCCAACTTTGCAAGAACTTTTTTTCCCCCGCGAAAAGTTGAAATTGATTGATTGATTGAACCTTTTTTCTTGCACATGGCGACGGAGGCCTAAAGCGAAAAGGTTTTATAAAACCCAGCTGAAGGCCTAGGACTGGGGCGATGGCGCGCGTGCCCACAGAGAGGGCTCTGAGTGCCACCTCTGGTACCCGTGCCATAGGTTCGCCACCACGGATATAGAGTCTCCTTCTTGAGCAAGGGATTGGACTAGAAGACCTCCAAGGTCCCTTCCAACTTTGATATTCTGCTTCTTTAAGCTTCTGCATGAACTTGAAACCTTAAGAAAGGTTTCAAAGCAGTTCTACTTCTGCCTGTTAAAGCAGCAACATCTAAGAAGGCTTGGAGGCTCAATCATCTGAAAACGAAAACAGAATCATATCATACTTTCAGTGCTGGCTTCTGAGAATGACGATAATTGATGGTGACACAAATGCAATCCAACCTCACGTGTTCCAATATTTCTTTTAATGAACTTAGTGAAAACCACCACTTACAGAGAAGGAAAACGGCCATTATCAAAATGCCCGACGTTTGCAACATGCCCACAAAATTTAAAGTAAACCGGAACCGGTGCCCCAAATAATATTCTCACCTGGGGTTGAAATTCCTCTAGCTTATTATCTACATCGAGAACGTTGTGCTTCCTAAAAAACCAAAAACATTGGAAGCTCGGATACCAACAGTTGTACAACCCCCCCCCCCCCTCCAGACAACCAAACAACATGAATTGCTTTAGGAAAAAGTCTTTAGAACAGGAGACCGGGAAAATATTACTGAAATGAAAGGAACAAATGTAGAAAACATTCATTGGTTGGTTTCTATTTAGAACAGTGGGTTGGTTTTTTTTTCAAAATTGGCAACTTTAAGAGGTGTGGACTTCAACTCCCAGAATTCCTCAGCCAGCTGTGAGTTGAACTCCTCACTTCTTAAAGTTGCCAAGTTTGAAACCCCCCCCCCACTGATTTAGAGGATAGTTTTAGCAGCATTACAAAATGCCAAATATTCTACTGTGTAGAAAAACAGGACACAAGGGTGAATGACAAGGGGGTCTGCAGGATGTGGTCAAAAAAGCCAAGATGGGGCCCACAGACACAGATATAAAATTATGTGGCCATGATTGCCATTTTGACTTTTTTGACCTCCTGAGGGACAGCAGGGCTTTCTTCAATCTATAGTTCAGCTGGTTATGTCAAACTACAACACCCACATTAGTGAGAAAACGCTGGGAGTTATAATGCCAGCTGGAGATGGCAGATTGCAGAAAGATATACACTCATAATAAAAGAAATCTTTGTTTTTCCAAAACCATGAAACAGGATTTCAAAATATGTACAAGTCTTCCGACCGAAGTAGTGCAAATGATACGTTTTTTTAAAATATATATATATATACCTCTCTCTATGTATATTTATCTACAATATAGGCGTTGCCAAGATCGAAGAAATCTTTCCAACAGTCATCTTCAAGACAACCAACATTGCTCAACAAGGGGGGGAAAAACCGTCTTGGAAAAACAAAACAAAACAAAACAATTAAATAAATTATCCTTTTTTCTCTTTCTTCAAGAAAAACTGCCGGGCGTCTTCCCAGGTCTGCCGCGGGAACCTGTTTAACAGCTCCAAGTAATCTTGAGAAGTGAAGAATGTTTCTGCCAAATGAAGAACACAGACTTACTTTAGAATTATGTTGGGATAATCCTCTGCTGGGTTTGGGGGTAGAGGTCTCACTCCATGCCCCCCTCCCCCAGATTTGCCTTACCTTAGAATCTATTTTCTGCTTTTTAAAAGAAGCTCAGTTAAAAAAAAAAAAGCGATTTAGCATTGGGTCAACTTTCCGCAGGAATCAAAAGATCCAGCAGGAACTTCCAGTTTTCCCGCGAGCCGTCTCCTAAAACGCCACCGTGCGAGGTTTGAACACGAGACCACGGTTTAATTTGATCGCCTGGATATTACTTACCCCTTTGTTGCGAAGGCTGGTTGTCTGTTTGGCCCGAGCCTTGTGTAGAATCCTACAGAAACAAAAGCCAAATGTGGTCCAGGTTTGTCCGAAACACAATACTGCCTGGATTTCCCAGCCAAGAGCCAAAAATATATGCGAGCCGACTCGGAAAATGCTTCTTTTAATACAACGCTTTCCTCTTTAAAAGTTGTCAAAACAGCCACGGTTGTGATAGGTTTTAGCAGGAGAAAAACTTTGAAGTAACAAGTAAACTTGGCTTTTTTTTTTTTAAATGGCTTTTCCTCCCCATTTCTAAAAATGAATACTTTTTTTTTTTTTTAAGGGGTGTCATTATTATTATTTTCTGTTTCTCTGCATTTGGACAGTTCTGTGCTTTTGCATCCCTGTACATGCAACCTGATCGGATTCTCTCTGCTTGGCCCAATTCCCCATATGGTAAACATTTATTTTCCAGTCTAAGGGTTAGATTCTCACATTGGATCTTCGTCCCCCCCCCCGAATGAAACAGGATGCTGGCCTCGGGAAGGCACTCATTGTGTCTCCCCACCAGAGCACGCAACTGGAAATCCAAGTATCCGTGTAAATCTGTTTTTCATTTTGCAATATCTGGGAGAAGAAAATAAACTCAGCTTTTTATGCAGCCTAATTGTTTGTTTATTTGTTTGATACTATTTTATTAGATTTTTATTTATTTATTTTTTTAAAAAAAGAGAAATCAGATTACTAAACAATTTCGACAGGCCAGAGGAAGCTCAGTTGTCTTCGGGTTACAGAACCAGAGAGGTTTATGTGAACAAAAATTTTAAAAAGATATCAATGCTAATTAAAATTAAGCTGGATATGACTGAGGCTAGATTGCCCCGGTTTTTGAATGATGTAACTACATATATCGATTACTTTACTGGTCAAAACAATAGTTCATTTTTCATGTAGGCAATCAAGTCTTTTGTTTTTTTATCACTTGCAGTAGCCAAAATCATTCACAGTTGCTAATTTGTGCTTTCAAAAGAGTTACAGAAGAAAACTTCCTCCATAAAAATGCATTTCATCCTTCCGTTCTTCATTTAATGGATCTGATCTCTCGGTTTTATGATCTGAGCCTTGTTTTTCATTTTTTGCTGCTATTGTGGTATATTTTTATGTATTTATTTACAATTTCACTCTCGAATATAAATATTGCCAAGTCTTGCAGAAACCGCTTTAAATGGATGGGAAAAAACGTTTAAATCTTTCAACCATTTTACAGATTTGCAACAGGTTAAGCACTACAAATTTGGAATGTGTCTTGAAGGTTGATAGGAGCAATTAAATGTCTATGCATGGACATGTGCACATAAATAAACATTGCTTTGTACAAGCTGATTATTAAAGTAGACTGCTGGCATGCCAAAAAAATGTGCATCCTTACACACATAAAAAAGAATGATTGTTTATGTAAACTGGAATTTCTGATCTAAACATTTAGCACAGCCGATATTTATTGCCACTGGCAACAGAATCTAAAGTTCATATCTGTAATTAAAAAAAATAAACCCTCCATTCTATTTAAATATTGGCAACATTTACATTTTGGTATCAGTTGCATTATATTAAAACTAGATTTGTCTGTTGAATGGGATCATGGTATCTATTTCAGGAGCTTACCTGCATCTTAGGAAGTATCAGCTGTTCAAATTTTTAGCAGAATGAACTAGGCACATTTTAAGAAAAAACATCAGCCGATAAGAGTATTCTCCAAAAATATTTAGCAAATTTTTATGAGATAAAACTTTGGACCATAAACAAGCCTTTCATTTGGGAAAAAATGGAAAACTTTTCATTCCTTTCTTCCTCCCTCTCTCTCCTTTTTCCTTCCTTCCTTCCTTCCTTCCTTCCTTCCTTCCTTCCTTCCTTCCTTCCTTCCTTCCTTCCTTCCTTCCTTCCTTCCTTCTTTCCTTCCTCTTTCAAATTAAAAATTACCAGGCTTTTTTTAGGCAGAAATCTCTGTGTGATGACTTCACATCAACCAACGTTTACCTGAATGAAGGTGGCTAACAACACACAACTCATTTCTTGCTCCAGGATGATCTTGTTTTGTGGGTTATTGTAACAAGCGGCAATTAGTGTCGGAAAGAGGATTTTGATCAGTCGAGGGTCGCTGAAATACTGGAAAGGCAACTGGCACAGTTTCTGCAGCACGGTGGGATGGCGGCCGGATTGCACAATCACCTGAAAAATGCAGAGAGTACCACGTTAGTCAGCTGGGCTGATAGATTTCTCTGATCGCCTGGAAAAGGAGTAAAATCAAGTTATGAAGCCGAGAAGCATTAATTAATAAAAACAACAAGAAGCTATATTTTTTTTATTTTAAATATCGATTTTGGATTGCACCCTCCATCCAGCTACGACTTCTTTTTTCTGGTACTTGCAAAACTACACAATAAGAATTTTATAGAAAATACAAACTTTGGAATTCTTCAGTAACGACACAAAAAGGCAAAAAAAAAAAAATGACAGTTGATACCTACACGTACCTAGACAGGGAGAAAACACGTGTAAAATTGTAGTAACTGTGGTAAAAGATTAAGGAAAGTAGATATTTTAGGAAAGAGCTGCTCCTAAAAACTTGCTTTTCGGAACCACCAGAAAAGACAATGAAACACGTACAGCAGAGTTAGGATTCTGAGCAGTAGCTGAATAAGATCCTCCCATTAGGTCTTTTTTGAAAAAAAATATCTGGATTTTTATTAATGCCTTTGACGGGATTGTTTAGATAAATGGAGCTGCTGTCAGGCAAGGCAAACTTTACAGCAGAAGTTATGCTAAGCAATGCTCTTGTTGGTTTCTTCCAGGGAAAATTTCTTCAGTTATTTAATTCCACATAATAAAGAAACGGTAGATGACATCAGCTTAGGCTCAGGGGACACTCAGGAAGATAATAGCCATCATAAAATTAATGATAAGGAGGAGGAGGAGGAGGATGGTGACACGCAAAAGAACCGTTTGACCCACACAGGACTTTCTCGCCTCCAAGGAAACTCCTCCAATTGAGGACAGTGGTAGCTTTTTCTAAGGTTGCGATTCAGAAAAAAACAATAACTGCACGTTTTACAGGTATACACAGCAGGGCCAAGCTACGCTCCAAATTAAAACCAGAAGGTCAAAAAGGAAAAGAGAGAGAGAGAAAGAGATGGTTAAGAGGCCAGAGGAACATAAATTACAGGGATTTACAAGTTTCAAAGAACTTTTAACAATTCGCTAAGAACACATTCTCGGTTCATAATGCAGTTCAGGTCAAGCACCCATCGACCAGCGCAATAGTTCACATTTTTTAGTTCAATAGCGAAAATGAAATTGAAAACCTTCCAGTGAATACAAAGAGGAACCCCTTAAGTCTTCTAAATCCAAATGGAATTTTAAATACACAGGCTGTGGGAGGGTCCACCCTCCGTGCGAGGCAGGCAGGGGCTGTGGCTTTGAATGGCACCCCTCCCTCCAAAAAGGCAGGATTGCAATTGACGTCCTAAAAGTCTCGAAGCTACATTTTAATCAATATGGCCAGCTTCATCCAACGAGGTCCGTTCTTGCTGAGGTGTGCATTTCTTATTTTCATGAAAAACAAAACAACACAAAAGTTGTGGGTTTAGAAAAAGCACTTTTAACAGATTTTTCAGTGGTTAAAATTACCCCCAGCAAACGTTCAAAACAAACTGCTTATGTGGCCGCATACCTTGCGATGTTCACAAATGTTAATTCTGAAAACCCAACCTTTGCCACTTTTTGAGTATCTTCCAAAAATAAAGCTGCTTACAAGGAAAATTCGTATTTCTATCTTATCCTTTACTAAGTCGTATCTAACCTTGGGATATAGAAGATTATCATTAACCAAGGGATACGGGGCTATGTTGGTTATTCTACGTGTGCAATAATTGTTCTTTGTCTGATTCAAAGAAGTGGAATTTAAAATAGCCGCTTAAAAATGCTTTTATTAATGTCTTTTTGTTTGAAGACCGCAAACTGCTTCCTTGCCACACAGCTGAGAGTGAGTGAAAAATAAGATTTGCTCTAGAAACAGTTGCCCATTGCTCCTCATTTCGGGAAAGACAAAACTGTTGAAAAACAATTTCGCTGACCGCTTTCACGGATGAGGAACACTAGACAGCCTCACGACTGCAGGTGAAAGAGGTCCGACATTTTCAGAAATAAAAATAAGGCCACACGTTGGGTTCCTGTAGAATCCTTCCAGAATCCCGAGAGAATCACTGGAAGAACTTTTCCGAATCTTGCATGCTAAGGAGCAGCAGAGAACAAGTGGGAAGGAGACAGTTTCAAGAGGAATTTTGATTTTTTTTTTCCTAGTTAAACCAGCCTGACTTCAGGGGGTTGAGATGTGGACTCGACAGGCTGCTTTGATCTTTGGTTTATAATACATTTCTTAACAAATGAAGGCTTGTAAGGGTCCTTGAAAAGGTCTACTCCCAAATTAATGGAAAAGGCAACTAAAAGGCCAAATTCTTGGAAGATGCAGATATTGGGGAATAAAGTCTTATTTTATGCCTTGTATTTTATTGAATGAAAAACAAGATTCTTAGTTAACACCACTGCCTGTTTTAACAAACCATGGAAGGTTTTTTCCTGTGTTTTTGCACACGGCTGGCTTAACTACCTGCAGAAGCTCGGTGGAATTCTCTCTACACGCTCTCTCTTTCGTTCCTTAAACACAACGCTGGTGTGAGAGTTGTGCTCGGATTACGGGACTTCTGGTTGGGGGCTCACACACCCTTTTTGTGCCAGACTCAGGGGCTAAGATAGTGCAATGTTGAGTTGGCACCTTGGCGAGATACATTCAAGCTACTGCTTGTTCATACCTCCAAAATCACACTAGCTCGTTCACCAAACGTAAAGCCTCACCTTATACACAGCAATGAAACCTTTGATAGTCAACATTTAAATATCATTAAGAGCAGGAAAAGCCATACGTGAAGAGGGTGGCTCCATCAAGGACTGGGAAAAAGGAGGGACGTCCAACAAGGCAACTCTTGTGAGGAATGCTGCCATGATCTGCTGCCAGAGAAGACCACTTCTTCTTGACCACAGAAAAAGCCACCTTCTGGAGGAGTTTTGATTGATCAGCTCTGATGGCACCTCCCATCTGTTGTTTTCATCACATTTCTTCTTCTCCTCTTTCACTTCCTCCTTCTCTCTTGGAAGGCTTATTTGAACTTTAGGTTTTTTTCAGCTCTATGGGCAGGCAAAGCCCTAACCTGTAGGAAGCTCCAGAGATATTTTATGGAACCTACACTACTGAATCCTGGCTTAATACGATGGAGAGGGTGAGGATTAAACTATCGGCTATGAAAGGGTATTGTTGGGGCTGAAGTGAACCACCTTTAAAGCAAAATTCTTATCAACTTTTTGTTAACTCTTAAAGGTTTTCATTTTTCCATGTTTAATGCTTTTAATGCTCTAATGGTTTCATATTGTTGCTTTATGATGTAAGCCGTCTGGAGTCTAGGACAGCGAGATGGGCAGCACATAAATTATATAAAAATAAAATAAAATAATAATAAAATAAAACAATAAAATAAAACAATAAAATAAAACAATAAAATAAAACAATAAAATAAAATAATAAAATAAAATAACAAAATAAAAAAATAAAATAAAATAATAAAATAAAAAAATAAAATAAAATAATATAATAAAATAAATACAGGTAGTTCTTAACTTACAACAGCTCATTTAGTGACTGTTCAAAGTTACAATGAGACTGATAAAAGTGACTTACGACCGTTTTTCACACTTACGACCCTGGCAGCATCCCCTGTGGTCATGTGACCAAATCCAGACGCTTGGCGACTGTCTCATATTTATGACGGTTGCCGTGTCCCTGGGTCATGGGATTCCCTTTTGCAACCTTCTGACAAGCAAGGTCAACGGGGAAGCCGGTTTCACTTAACAGTGACTTGCAGCGATTTGCTTAAGGACCGTGGCAAGAAAAGTCATAAAATGGGGCATACCTCACATAACCAATGTCTCACTGAACAACAGAATTTTGGGGCTCAACTGCGGCCGTTAGGTCGAGAATTACCCGTAAAAATAAAATCATAAAAATAAAATAAAAGTAGAAACGGGCTGGTTTGCCTTTGGATGGGTGTTCTTTACCGGGTCTGCATTCCCCCAGTAGGGTCAACCGCCTTAGGAATGCTGGGGTTAAAAAGTTCTGGGAGACCCCGAAGGAGACCACACTCAAAATCTGATAAGGGGCTCCGTGGGGTGATAACTTGCATTGACTGACAGTTATAGGAACCCATCCTTTCCAAGCGAGTTCCTGCGGTCTATGGTTTCTAAGAGCACAATGGGCCATTTAACCATTTAAATGCATTTGGGTGAGGTTATTTATAACTCCATAAAAAAAGAAATCCGTTCCTCCTCGTGTGATGGAGCTCTGGAATGTACCTTCTCCGGCTCTCAAATTAGATCTGCATTATTTCTTTGCTACTCTATAAACAAATCCGGGGCTGTAACCGTTTAATCAGAAGGATATGTCATCTTGGGGGGGGGGTCAAACTCTTTACCCATCTGTTTCTCAAAGGTTTAACATTAGAAAGGCTTCATGTTTTGGGGAGTGGGGGGTGGGTGAGGAAACGAAGACCTTTTATTTTTTTCTAGGAATATTTATCATGTTTCCTCCCCTATAATTTGGTGGACATGCAGTTGGCTAGACCTTTAAAGGCTAAATCTTTCTCTTAAAGGAGTAATAGTGTTGGAAGGTGATCAATCTGACTTTAAAATGAAATTTTAAAAATGAATACAGAATAACTGAGTTGGAAGGGACCTTGGAGGTCTTCTAAGCCCAGCTTCCTGGTCAAGCAGGAGACCCTATGTAATTCTGGGCAATGGCTGTCCAATGTCTTCTTAAATATATAACATTAATTTATGTTAATTATATCTTCTTTGCATTACATCCTCCCTCCCTTTTGTAAATCTGAGTGCAGTCCTGGGGTGACTTACTTAACTGTTACTTGTTTAGTGACAGAGGTCCCAGTCCCAATTATGGTTGTAAATTGAGGATTATCTTTAGTTCCTAAGTTGTAGTTAGGGACCTCAGCATTTGAAACAATTGCGGTAAAGAAGACAATGTTCTCCCCTGCAATAAACTGGATTGCGTGAGATCATGATAACAATAGCCCTTAGATTTATATGCTGCTTCATAATGCTTTATAGTCAGTTTAAGCGGTTTACAGAGTCAGCATCTTGCCCTCAACAATCGGGATCCTCATTTTATGACCTTGGAAGGATGGAAGGCTGAGTCAACTTTGAGCTGGTCAGGATTGAACTGCTGGCAGTGGGCAAAATTAGCCAGCAATGCGGCATTCTAACCACTTCACCACAATGTATGGATGTATGGGTGGGTGGATAGAAGGAAAGAAGGACAATAATACTTAGATTTATATACCGCTTCACAATGGTTTACAGCCAGTTCAAGTGGTTTTACAGAGTCAGCATCTTGCTCCCCCAACAATCTGGGTCCTCATTTTACTGACCTCGGAAGGATTGACGGCTATCGTTCCCACATCATGTCTAATCATACCCTTAAATGGTGTTGACTGATCGACTTCTTACACGTGTACGAAAGATGCATTTGCGCAAAACAAGAACCGGATCGAATGTATCCCTGCCTAAACTTCCACGGACCGCATCCACAGCTGCCGCTCAGCCCAGGATCCCAAACCTCAAGGACAGCCGGCCCCGTGTATGTCAGAACTAAGCTAGCAAAATGACCATAACGGTGACACCTTTTAAACGTTGCCTAGATTGTCATCTTAATCCAATTAAAAAGAATAAACAAGCCTACATTGGAAACAGATAAACAAACTTTAAGCCAAAGGACGTATGAGTAACAGATGTAAGTAAATCTAGAGCTGGAGGGTGGGGAGGGGGTCAAAGGGGTGGGTGGAGGGAAGACTTGGGAAGAGAGGAAAAAGGCTCACTTCCCTTGAGCTGTCTGTAGACCTTCTTGTTACAAATGCAGACAGATTCCTTCCTTGCAAAGATTATTCTACAGACGCCTTTTCATGCCGAGTTTAATGAGCTAATGCCATGGGAACAAAGAAGAGATCTGTAGAAGTGAATCATTTTTTGGCATCGTATGGTGGTGGTGGTCACCCTGCACATTCTGGTGGTGAACCACCAAGAGCTATTCAGCTCTGCAGGGCCCGCAAAACATCAGGCACGCCCTCTCAGCACCTGAATGGATCACTAAGGTGAATAGATTCCGACCGAAGAGCGCTCAGGGTTGAACGGTGGGGTTTTTNGTGCTCTCTGAGCTTGCTGGTTTTCTTGCAGACGTTTCATGACCCAACTAGGTAACATCATCAGTGCTAGAGGGGTTTGCAAGAGGAGGAGGAGGAGGAGATGGACTGTGTGAGATGAACAATTCTGATGGTTGTTTCCCCCCCCCCCAGTCACGTGCCATGAACACTGCCACATTTATTAACAATCATGTGACTTTTTGCCCCAAACCAGCAGCTACGTCCGGTTTGGGCAAATTGGTGACCACAGTCAAACATTAAGCACCCACCGGTTTGCTTAATGACCGCCGTGTTCAGTGAACAATGGTCGCAAAAAGGTCGTAAAATGGCTCAGACCCAATTGACCCAAATGACAGACCCAATTTACGACTGCTACAACTTGGCATGGACTACGAGGGGCAGGCTCCATTATGGTCAAGAACTACCATTGCACCTGTTTAGTGGACGAATGGACACTGAGAGGTGATTAACAAGCACAAGTATCATAATGACAAGAACGACCCTCCCCTCATCTGGTATCTTGCGGTGAGGCAGCTCGGGCACGGCCTTAGCTGAAAAGGAATCATTTCTTTAAAAGAAAGAAGTGGATATTTAAAAGTACTTTCTCCAAGCCGCTCATATTAAGCTGATCTTAAAACAAGGAAAGGGCTTCCAACTGTAACGTTTGCTTCCGAGATCCGGATGCCTTTCAGTTCACAAAGGGGCAAAAATTGTAAAGCTGCTGGTAAATACATGCCCAATATTATGCTGTCCGAGTTATAATTTGGAGCACTGGGAGACAAATGGCCGGTGCATTGTAAAAATAAATAAATAAATGAATATGCAAAGGTTTTTTTTCTTTCTTTGCTCTTTTTAGAAATTCCCAACGCGGCAATGCGGAGGAAAGAAACTCATTCGTCATTCATGTTAATTTAATTATCAGACCCCCTTCAACTGTCCAATATAAAATGCAAATGTGCTCAAAAGTTGCCAGCCACCACGGGGTTTACTAATTAGATCAGGAGAAACTGCCCCCCCTCCCCAAGCGGCACAGGATGCAAGGAGCCTGCTAATTAACAGCAATACTTTTAATTAAGAAACGGCAACTCTTTTGGGAAGCCCTCAATTGGCTTTGTCGTTTATAAGTGGGGCTGAAGCCTTTGTTCTCCTTACCCAGGATTCCCTTCGGTGCCCATCCGTGGTATCGTGGGACCTGTTCAGCCGACGGGTGAGTGATGAAATGGGCTAACAAATAGGGAGGGAGGGAGATTTTTGTGGGATAGGGATAGTTCCCCCCCCAGGGAATAAAAGGAAGCTAAATCTCTTTCGGCCCCCCCAAAACTATATAAATGAAAGCTCAGATCGTGAAGTTCCCACCAAATGGAGCCCCTGGCCAGGAGTTACGGAGAGGTGACCAGGCCTTGGAGAGGAGAACATTCCCAGCTGTTGCATATCCAGGTGGAATGTCTGTGGCGATTGTCCATCATCCAGGTCATGCTTTTCGGTGGTTTTTCTTCTTTGAAAACGTTTCGTTTCTCATCCCTGAAGCTTCTTCGGTTTGGAACTGAAGAGGCTTCTTGGATGGGAAGTGACAGGTTTTCAAGGAAAAAAACCTTGAGAAAGTCCAGTTGCCTTTTGGAAAAGCATCTTTGGGACGTCCAGGTTGGATTGTAAAAACAACATTTTTATGTCCCTGGACGGCCGATTCCAGAAAGGCTTATCAGAGCAAGGGTGTGCCTAGTTTGTTCTACTGGTTATGGCAAATACAACCCATCTCTTTTTGATCAGAATGTGACCAATTAATCTGCTTTGGATGCAAAAAGTGGTGAAGGTAGTCCTCAACTTACGACGAGTTGCTTAGTGACTATTCAAAGTTACAACGGATCTATCCTGGGGGCTTCTTACAACTCGGATTTGCAGTTCTGACAGTTGTCCCTGCCCCCATGGTCATGTGACCTAACTTCAGACACTCAGCAACCAGGCTGCATTTATAGCAGTGATGGTGAACCTATGGCACGGGTGCCAGAGGCGGCACTCAGAGCCCTCTCTGTGGGCCCGCGCGCCGTCGCCCCAGTCCTAGGCCTTCATCTGGGTTTTATAAAACCTTTTCGCTTTAGGCCTCCACCGCCGTGTGCAAAAAAAAAAAAAAAAAGGTTCAATCAGTCAATTTCAACTTCTCGCGGAAAAAAAAAAGATCTTGCAAAGTTGGAATTGATTGATTGAACTTTTCAGCCCCACCCAGTCTGCCGTTACCACCGCAGCCACACCCACCCAATGGGCTACACCCACCCAATGGGCCACACCCACCCAGCACCCGACCATACATAAGTGGGTTTTGGGTTGCAGTTTGGGCACTCGGTCTCTAAAAGGTTCGCCATCACTGATTAATAGTGTCCTGTAGTCACATGACCACGTTATACATTGGTTTTGTTGAAAACTGGCACTGATTACCAGTTTTCGGTCAAACTGCATGCTGACTGAGGAATTCTGGGAGATGAAGTCCACATATGTTCAAGGTTGGGAAACATTGGGCTGAAAACCTCTAAACAGGCCTCCGTACCTGGTTGTCTGGATGGTTGACAGTGAAGTAGCCCACACAGACAATGACTTCGTGAAGCAGCACTTCGCAGGTGTGGTGGGAACAGTGCCAGAGCAGGGAGCTGATGATGTGCCGAAATGCCAGGGAGAGACCTTCAGCGCCAACCACAGACTGGAGGGAAAGGAGAGAAATCTTAGAGGCATCTTCTACAAACATCCGACTGAATCCAAGGATTGATGTGAAGTCTTGTTTTTTTAAAATAGGTTAAGCCTGTTTGGGGCCTACTCTCCACTTGGAGGGGGGGGATTTCCACCTAATGTGCACCCAAAAAGATGTTATGGATGGTGTGGGCAATTGGGGAGGATCTTGCCAATAGCAAGAGGACTTGGTATCTCAGGTGGCATTGGATTCCCAAATTAAGAATCTGTAAAATCAAGAAATAGAAGAGAATCCTGTCAAGTCCAAGTCCACGTCAAGTCCAATCAAGTCAAGTCAAGTCAAGCCAAGTCAAGTGAAGAAAGTCAAACCAAGTCAAGTCAAGCCAAGCCAAGTCAGGTCAAGTGAAGACAAGTCAAGTCAAGTCACATTTTTATTATGGTCTTAAACCAGCACAGACTCCTTTCAATATATATATATTCCCTTTTCATCCCAACATTCCTTAAATGGCTTGATTGAAAATCTACCCACAGATTATAAAAGAGCTTCCTACCCCACAGCTTAATCAAAGCCATTTATTACTATTGGAAGAGGCTTCATTCCCAAAGCTATTTTCCAGTGGGGAAAAAAAATCAGTATTAGTCAAGGACAAAAAGCATGTTGAATTTCAGATAGGGGCTACTAAAAAGACAGGCAAATGTGTATGTGTGCGCTGAACACAAGCCAAGATCAATTGCCATCCAGGCAACTCTGGCTTGTTTTAATGAAGCCCAAATAGATACAACTCAAATACACTGGGGTTTACTCCTGCCCTTGTCTCTTTTCCCCTTCTTGGGACGGTCCTGCTATGAGCAATTTCAAATCCCTTAGTGGCAAGGAGTGACTCCATGAAGCTAGAGTGCATTACTTTTGCTTGCAGTTCCTATCAGCTCATTATACCGATACACTCTACCACCGAAGCTGGGTTCCTACTATTTGATAGCTTTGAACACTCTGGGCAATTGGTCCGTCCCTGGTCTTTGAGACCCGGCTATGTCTCTGTAGCTAGGTTATTGGCCTGGCTGCTTTTCAACGCCCAATCAAGTCAAGTGTACAGGCTGACACAACCTCCCAGCCACCATGGGTTGAACGCAGCTTGACGGATGGGCTGCAACTGCCTCTGTAAACTTGCCCCGACCATGCTTGTTCTGCCCCCGTTTGCACGACTCCAAATGTATTCCCCCCCTCCCCGCCTCGGTCACCCACTTGCAAAGAACAACCCTTTAAAATGTCATTGTTTGTCAAGTTGTAAGCAAAGGCAAAAAAAATCCTGGCTAGCTGAGGAGTTTAATGTGTGTTGGACGTGGGAGGAGGAAAAACGGGCAGGCAGGTTACGGCAGAGGGATTCGGGATAAGGCGGCTTTATCGGTGCAGCCCGGAGGCTCTATTTAATAAACATGTCATCCAGAAAAAGCGATGTGGGGTCAGAGGGGAGAAGGGAGGCAGGAGGCAGGGACATCAAAGCCTGCCCACTTGGAGGGAGCAGCAGCCTCTCGGTGGGAAAAGAGCCACTGGGCCCACACGGTTGGCTCTGGGTTGTTTAGTTTGGTGGACGATGGGTTAAACATGTATGGAGAAGAGCAGACTAAGGCTAGCTCCAAATTCATCTTGTGACTGGGGATGGCAAGTCATTTGATTCCTACTGTACTTACTGGCAGGAGGAGGAGGAGGAGGAGGAGAGGAAGAGGAGGAGAAGAGGAGGAGGAGGAGAAGAGGAGGAGGAGAAGAAGAAGAAGAAGAAGAAGAAGAAGAAGAAGAAGAAGAAGAAGAAGAAGAAGAAGAAGAAGAAGAAGAAGAAGAAGAAGAAGAAGAAGAAGAAGAAGAGGAGGAGGAGGAGGAGGAGGAGGAGGAGGGGGAGGGGGAGGAGGAGAAGAGGAGGAAGAGGAGAAGAGGAAGAGAAGAAGAAGAGGAGGAGGAGGAGGAGGAGGAGGAGAGGAGGAGGAAGAGGAGAAGAAGAAGAAGACGAAGAGGAGGAGGAGGAGGAGGAGAGAAGAAGGAGAAGGAGGGAGAAGGAGGTGGTGGAAGTTCTCAAACTTTCCTCTCTCATCAGTCTGACTTTTCTTCCTACTTTGGGTGTCTAAGTTGGCACTCTTTTCCTCATCCCTCCTCCTCTTTTTTTACCTTTTCTGTCATCTGTTTAGCTTACAAGCCAGGCCAGAAGAGACTCTTTAATAGTTTAGACTCACTTTTGGCTAGATGCCTCCAAGATGCCACAAAGCTGTCCAAGCCCAACTGAAATCTAGTGAAAGACTTGGCACAGTCCTGCCACGATGCCCCTAAGGGCGGGGGGGGGGAATGCTATGCCCTCTGCCCCTCCCTGATCATTTACTACTGGAGATGATGTGTCAACATTTTCTTGGACGGAGTCCTTTTTCCCAACAGAGGTCCCAACAGACGAAGTGCTCTGTGTTTATAGCCTCCTCCGATAACAAGTGGCCTCAGGGCACCAAAGATTGTATATAAACATTAACATTCTGGTTTGTTTCCCCCCTTCTCTGAGGAACCGCACATCCCCTCTACAACCGCTTTTAATGGCGGTTCAGTATCCTGCACTGCTTCTTCCTGACGCCTTCCCGCTGCTTAGATGCTCAAGATAAATGGATGATATCCTGAGAAATGTTGCCACTGAAATATTCTTTTCCTGTTGCCTACTTTTTTTGTGCTTGAGCATTTCGGACCGTAAATGCACGACCATCACTTTTTAAATAAATTAAAAAAAAAAAACCGAAAGAGGGGAAAGTGATCGACGGCTGAATTTGAAGAAATGCAGATGCTCTTTTATTCCGTGAAAATAAAACGTCCAGCTGGATCAGGGCCTCCGGAGAGAGATAGAGAAGAGAGGATTCTTGCAACTGAAAATCAAATGGCTTTTAAGAAAGCAACTCCTCTGAGCTCTATGACAGGGCTTTTCAACCTTTTCACCCATTGTACCACTTTTAGGAGGATATGGCAACATCTGAGTACCACCAGTCGCTTAGCAAGGTGTCAAAAACTTGATGACAAAAAAAAGGAAAAAAGTGATGAAGTACAGGTAGTCCTCGACTTACAACAGTTCGCTTAGTGACTGTTTGAAGTTACAATAGCACTGAAAAAGTGCCCCCCAAGCCACAGCCGAGCAAGACACCTGCCTGCCCACCCGGCGGCACTCTTCCTCCTGTCTGAGGTTTTCATTGTTGTGAGCATTTCTGTTGAGGATTGGCAGCGGGGGTAGGGTGGGGGGTGTTTGGTTTTTATTCCCCCCGTCTGCTGGGTGGTTGCTGCAGGTTTTGGTCGCTTCACATGACCCTGGGACACTGTGACGGTCATAAATATGAATCAGTTGCCAAGCATCTGAATGTAAATCACAAGACCCTGGAGAGGCTGCAACATTCCAGCTGATCGGTGCTTCTTCAGGGCTCAGCAGAAGCGCCAGGATCAGTGCTGAGCTCCAGCTGGAGCCTGGCACTGATCCTGGCGCTTCCGCTGAGCCCTGACAGCCCCGAAGAAGCGCCAATCAGCTGGAAAGCGGCACTGATCCTGGCGCTTCCGCTGAGCCTTGACAGCCCTGCAGCTCCAGCCATCTCTCGCTCAGCCTTGTGTGGTGCTGCTGTTCAGCTCATTCCCCTCCCCCACTACCACTTTTCTAGGATGGTCGCGTACCACCTGCCAGGTGCCAATGTACCACAGGTGGTACCCGTACCACTGGTTGAAAAGCCCTGCTCTATGGGACCTTGACTTACCACTCTAAGGGAACACGGTAATTAAGGTCATTAGCAATGAGGATGATAAAGTGAGTCACCGTGTGGTGATTGGATCTGATTTTGCAACTTTTTTTTTTTCAGAGCCCAACTTGATTCAGATCGTGGCTGAAGTAAATTGTGCGGCTCAGAGAAAACCCCGGCTAGCTGTGGTGGTTCTCAAGAACCAGAGTGGGCCACGCTTTGCCAGTCGGTTAGAAGAGGCAGCGCAGAATTGTCACACGTGCACAAACAGAGAAGAGCAGCCAACCAGCGGCTTGTGCGCTCGGGACAAACCCTACCTGGAAAGCGGACAGATCCAGCAGAGCAAAGCTGTTGAAGAAGCGCAAACTCTGGAGAGCGACCTGCAGGGTGTTGGCCGTGAAGCTCTCTTTGGGATTGGCCGCGTTCAGCTCCACGAAGGTGCCGTGGAAGAGAACGCAGTAGAGCATGTGCAAAACGCCCACCAGATCCGTAGCCTTGAAAGCCGCCGTCAGCCCGGTGGGATCCGGGTGGGTCTCGGCAAAGATGCTTCCGGACCTGTCGAAGAAAAAAAGCGCAAGATCCATCCGTTATTTATTTATTAAATTGATGACACCGCTCCGTCTCGCTGTCCAAGCGCGGCTGTTGGTGACGGTCAAGCTTACGTCTCAAAAACACCACAGAGAGGCGAGAAGGGACAGTGGGGTCCAAAGCTGAATGAAGACATGCCAGCCGGATGTTTCTGCGCTAGAATTCCAGCCGTCGCAAGCAGCCTGGCCAAGAGTGAGGCTTCCTGGGAGTTCTAGTTCAGCAGCGCTCGGAGATAATTTGCCAAAATAGACGTTTGTTTAGTAAATAAGCGAAGTGTGTGTGTGTTTGTGTGTGTGCAGTCATGTGACCAGAGGGGGAGGGGGCATCAGTCAGAACTTCAGAACAAGGTCCTAAGTACCAATGGGGAAGTCCGTTCTAACTTTGAGCGGTTGCTAAGCAACCCGGTCATAATTTGAAGACTAGTTGTAGGTCAGCTATGCTCACAATACAGGTAGTCCCCATTTAGTGACGTTTCAAAGTGCTGCTAAGTGTGAAAAACGGTCCTAAGTCACTTTTTTTCAGTGCCGTTGTAACTGCGAGCAGCCGCTGAACGAACGGTTGTAAATTGAGGACCACCTGAAATTCCGCCCGCACTTTGCAGCAAGGGCTGAATGCGATTCTTGGGCAGCAAAAGGCAGCACCACCCGATCCCCAGCCGCTCCTTCCCTTTTATTGGCCACCAAGCAGCCAAACCAGACATTAACTTAATTACTGCAATAAAATGCAACACAAAGAAGTCTATATCCCTCGCTATCCTTTTGACCTGACCTTCCTTTTTCTCCTTTCTGTGCAAGAAGGGGAAAAAAAATCCATCCCAGATTCCATCAACGGAGAGCCAACACTGTTCCACCTCTGGTTTGCTTCCTGGCAGGGGCTCAACCTGTAGGTATGTGAGTGCTTTGTAAGTCCCTGATTAGTGGGGTGAGACTTTTTCTGCCCCCTCGCCACTTCCCAAGGACCTGTCATTTACCGTCAGCCTATTTTATAGGCATCATCACAAAAGTGTTATCAGATTGGATTGTGAAACCATTTCGGAATGTTCCGACTTCATCAATCCTTAGGCCGGGCTCAGGAAGAAATTATAAGCTGCCAGGGCCGGCCTGCCTTGTATAATTCATCACATATATTTTTTCTGTAATAAGAAACTAAATTCTTTTAACTTCACGGAGATGAAGGAAACGGGTTTATGAAGAGGATGCAAATTTAGCAACCCGGGGGCTAATGAGAAATGGTGAGAAGCTGCAAAACTCTTCTTGAAGGCTCCCAACACCGTTGCACGTGGAGGCAGCCAAAATTCTGATTTATTCTTTCAACATCCGGTGGGTGCTTGGAGTTAAAAGAATTAAGAAGGCTGAAGCATACGTGGAAAAGAAGAGAAGCAGGAATGACGTTTTTGAAGGGCGAGACTTATTTTGCAGATCTACAGATGGATGGATGGATGGATGGATGGATGGATGGATGGATGGATGGATGGAGATATCTTATAATTGTTCCAATGAGCTTAGAGCAGGGGTCCTCAACCTTGGCAACTTTAGCTGGCTGAGGAATTCTGGGAGTTAAAGTTCACAAGTCTTAAAGTTGCCAAGGTTGAGGACCCCTGGCTTAGAGCAGTGTTTCTCAACCTGAGCCATTTGAAAATGGGTGGACTTCAACTCCCAGAATTCTCCAGCCAGCATGCCATCTCAATTCTCGGAGTTGCAGTCCCCAATTTCTGGGAGTTGATGTCCACATCTTAAAGTTGCTGAGGTTGAGAGACACTTGCTTAGGCATGGTTTTCCCTGGGACATTTACAACCTCGGCTTGCAACCTGTTCGAAGGGACTCACAGCAGGTCCTCGCACATGTGACTATTGCAGCATTCCTATGACTAAAATTCAGGCGCTGGCATGTATTGAGAACGGTTGCAAAATCCCAGGGTCACATCCTGATCACCGTTCGTGACCTTCCCAGCCGTCTTCGGACTTCAGCCATTCTGAGACTGGCTGGGGAATTCTGGGAGTTGAAGTCCACCCCTCTTCAAGCTGCCAAGGTTTCCAAACGCTGGCCTGGGGTCTTTGTTCCCCACCGTTTCTGTCTTGGTCAGGATGCCTGGGGCAGAGACACACACGCCCAGGAGACCTGAGTCTCTTCTAACCTTTCATTCCAGACATACCTTTCAAGGCAAATATGTCTACAGTGGCTTAAGGGGTCAGGTTTCAGGGCTAGGGGCCAGGAGACTGGCGCTTGCAAAAAAGGGGCATCGTCTGTGATAAAGTGGCCGTGAAAACCTGACAGCCGCAACACTTGCCTGCCGTTGACAGTGAAACACAGCTGACACATCCCGTGCAAGGCCGAGGTGGAGTTCTGCAAGAAAGCCGCCGTTTTGGGCGTTTCGTCAATTGGGCCTTGGATGGAGAGGAAGCAGCAACTCAGCTTCTCTATTAATCCAATGTTCACCATGTAGCTAGCAGAGGGAGAGAGGGAGGGAGAGAGAGAAAAGGAAAAAACAAATGCTATCAATGCAGGCTGTATTCTTGTTCTATGGATCAATCTTGACCCATTCATAAATCATCCCCACCAACAACCTCATCACCATCATCACCACCTTCGTCTTCATCTCCTCCTCCTCTTCCATCATCATCATCATCATCATCATCATCATCATCATCATCATCATCATCATCATCATCATCATCCCAAATCAATCCATTGCTAGATGAAGGCCTTTTTATTTAAGGTAATGAACCATAATCAACCATGCTGATAGATAGAAGCTTTTCAAATTCTCAATGAAAGATGGCAACTGGCCCAAACGTCACCCAGTCAGTTTCCCTGACTTAAGGAGGACTAGAACTCCCTAGTCTAGCCTTTTAATAATTACCACTGGCTCTCATTCATTCATTCATTCATTCATTCATTCATTCATTCATTCATTCATTCATTCATTCCCATGAGTGCATACAAACATATTTACAGTAATTTAGTTTAAGAGAATCAGTGTGCTATAATGGTGAAGGCACCAGGCTAGAAAGCAGGAGACAGGGAGTTCTAGTTCTGCCTTAGGTACAAAAGCTGGCTGGGTGACTTTGGGCCAGTCCTTCTCGCTCAGCCCAACCCACCTCACAGGGTTGTCTTTGTGGGGAAAACAGGAAAAGGAAGGAGTATTAGGTATATTCGCCACCTTGAGTTATTTATAAAAACAACAAAGGCGGGATGAAAGGATCTTTAAAACAGTGGTACTTTCCAAAAGAGTTGGGACAACAACTCAAGAATACAAAAACAGGATGACCAATGGAGTTCTGGAGACGGTAGTCCCAACCTTTCTGGATGGCAGAAGCAAGGCTGGAAAATTAGAACATCTGATCGGACTCTTACCTGATAAGGTCTTGTATCCTATTGTTAAAAACTTCAGCTTGGGAGGTCTTGTTTTTCATTTCTTGAATCAATTTTGGCGCACAAATTTGGTTATTAGTGTTGGGTACGTCGGACATCAGAGAGCCAAACACCACAGCCAGGATCCTGAGCACTCCAGTTATTAGACCTTCAAAGACTTGCTTGTTAATTGCTCTCCCTGAGGTTGCATTGTGGTCATCTGGGATGTATACCTAGACACAAGCACAATGGGACGCAGAATAAATCTACCCCAAAGTAGGTATCATACTCTCCATTGTTTTGCCAGCAAATTAGACCTCATCCTTAAATTACAACTTTCAAAACAACAAAGCATTTTGTTCCCCACTATTTATTTTCGGCTTCTGATAGTTAAAATATCGTGCAACTTCCTTCGCTTCATGAAGGTTATCTGAACGTTATCTGCTCTTTACAGTCTTTTTGTTTATCTGGTGTTCCGCGATTAAGCTTGACTTGACTCTTAACAACCCTCTCTAGGTGTACAGGTTACACCTAGAAACAATTCAGCTCACAGGAGATCAGGAGAGGGCTACACACGTCCATACAAAATTTCTCTTTAAGTTGTTCTCATGTCTGTTCGAATTCATGTTCTTGGATGAATAAGATGGGGAATTTTCTTGTGTTTCCAAGTACCTTATTTTAACAGTTCCTACTCAATGTCTGCATTCAATTACATGCGCTGAGAGGGCATCTTATTGGCTTGCCTCCAAAGATGCTCAAGGATTAAATCAATCCAAGAAAAAATAATAATAATAATAATCAGGATTAAAGTCAGGATTCATTTTTTTCCTCTCTTTGGGTTGGTTGGCCTTCCCTCTTAGAAAAGGTTAATCCTCAACTTATGACCACAGCTGAGCCTGAAATTTCTGTTGCTAAATGAGACAGGGGATGTATGCTTTGCCCCATTTTACCACCTTTCATGCCACAGTTGTTAAGCGAATCTTGGCTTCCTCCATTGACTTGGCTTGTCAGAAGGTTGCAAAAGGGGATCACAGGACCCCAGGACACAGCAAGCCATCATACATATGAGTCAGTTGCCAAGTGTCTGGATTCTGATCATGTGACCCTGGGGATGCTGCAATGGGTGCTAAGTGTGAAAGGTGGTCATAAGTCACTTTTTTCAGTGCCGTTGTAACTTCGAACGGTCACTAAACAAGCTGTTGTTAGGTCAAGGACTGCCTGCATTCTCTTCAACCTGGCTTATTCAGTACTGCTTTGATTATGAAATGGGCAGGTGAGGCTTTTTAGGCATGGCTGAAGTTCTGGAAAGGGTTTCTTCAAATGGAGCTGTCCAGCTAGACTTTGCTGCTGAATCTAGACTTAGATTAGAAGCCTAATTCTAGTATTGAGGGAGGTTAAGCCTAGACCTCCAAGGATGTTAAGCCTAGATTTTTAGGTTAGCATCTGCTCATGTTGAGCGTAGAGGAATCATGGTTTGGAAAATCAGTTGCCCTATGATTGGCATGGCTTAAGTATAAAAAAAAAGGAGGCACATCCTAAGTAGAGTTGTATCTAGAAGGCTTCTGAATGGTACGGAACAAGTTCAGGGTAACTCTCTCTTAAATTTGGGCTCATAATTTGAAGACGGGCCCAGTCACGCCTTTTGTTAAGCAAAATGTCCTGAGCATCCTGGCTGTTTATCCAGCTTTGGTTTCAGAAGAACAGAATGAAAGATTTGGAAGGGGCTTTCCAGGTCTTCAAGTCCAAACACTTGCTCAAGTAGGGGGACCCTATAACCATTTCAGGCAAATGGCTGTCCAATCTCTTCTTGAAAACCTCTACAACTTCTGGAGACAAGTTGTTCCACGTATTAATTGTTCTCACAGTCAGGAAATTTCTCCTTCTCCTCCTGGCTCAACCAGTGGAAACAGACCGAGGAGAGATGAACAGGAAAGATGTACTTCAGTGATTCTTTGATTCCAAAACCCCCCAAAAACCAATTTTGCATCCTAAAATTGGCGATGGCCTCGGTGGATTTAGAAGGGGACAAATGAATTCAGATGGGAACATCAATGGCCTTTTCAACGGCAACTAAACATGGCAGCTAAACGGAAGTTGTGTGCCACTGAATGTTTATTATTTTTGGTCCTAGCTTCACACCCTTTATAATGTTGACCTGCCTGCCTGTTTTTTGGGGGGAATGTGATCTCCCACATGACTCTTAGAGCCCAGGGATCTCCCTCTGAGAAATGCAGTACACCTGAGGCTCTCTAATAGGTAGGAATGTCCTTTGCCGTTCTCGTGATGATTGCTTTAATATCATTTCCTGACAGTCTGATGTACGTTAAAACAGTGATTATACTAATCAGGAAAAATGAATAATGTCTCAGCTTTAGCTTCTCTATTAATCTAAAGTAGGTAGTCCAACCAGGAATGACGCAGGGGAACTATCATAGGGGGCATCCAGGACACATAACTTTGCATTTTCAACTCAAACCTGACCCAAAAAAAAGCCAATTTCACCACGATTTCACCAGGAAAACCTTCTCTGTTTTAACTGCACAAGAGTGAGCTGGATCGTAAAATGCAGCTGTTGCATAGTTAGCACTGTATCCCTCTCGAGGGAATAGGGTAACACTCGGAGACAAAAAAAACAACAAAACAACATGCGGGTTTTTTTACATTATTGATTAGCTCTGTGCCTGGAGTTAGTACTTAAAATTCACTGTCATTGTCCGTTCCTGGGGACGAGCCAAGTTGGGAAGTGAGAAGAAGACTTTGGCGCCTCGCAGGGAGAATGAATATACTCCTTACGTACAGGGATGCCGAACTGCGGAGTAGGCAAGCTGAAACTACCTGAAAACTTAGAAGGAGATCCGGTTACTTCCAGTTAATTTAGACAAAGTGGAGCAATTCCTGACGGGTGACTTGGTTTGTCTAGTTGCATGGATGCGTAGTTTTTCGAAGGCAAGCACCCCTTCGACGAAACGAGTAAAACCTGCAGGCCCTTTGAGCTATTTCCTTCAAAGGTCAACAGTTCTTCTGCTCAACCCTGAGTACAGATGGTCCTTGACTTACAATCATTTGCTTAATGCAGGGGTAGGCAACCTCAGCTCTTTTATGATTCATGGACTTCAACTCCCAGAATTCCTGAGTCAGCATAGCTGACTCAGGAATTCTGGGAGTTGAAGTCCATGCCGAGGTTACCTACCCCTGGAAAAAGCGACTTATGACTTAAGATCACTGCAACGTCCCCATGATCAGGTGATCGAAGTTCAGATGCTTGGCAACTTACTCATATTTATGACGGTCGCGGTATCCCCTTTTGCGACCTTCTGACAAGCAAAGTCAATGGGGAAGCCGGATCTGCTTAGCAACTGTGTGATTAACTTAACCACTGCAGCAATTCGCTTAGCAAATGTGGCGAAAAAGGTCATCAAACGGGGCAAACCTCGCGGAACAACTGTCTCGCTTAGCAACGGAAACTTGATGCTGTATTCGTTAAGTTGAGGACCACCTATAACAAAACCCAGCCTGTTGAAAAAGCACAATAGAGTTTGGCTGGACAAAGCTAGCTCAAATCGACACAGAAGGGTGATGGTTCGGGTTAGGGTTGATGAAGGCCACTCATCATGGGGACTGGAGGCTAAAGGATATAAGGAACGGCTGCTGGAATTGGGTATGTCTAGTTTAACGAAGAGAAGGACAGGGGGGGACTGGATAGCAGTGTTCCAATATCTCAGGGGCTGCCCCAAAGAAGAGGGAGTCAAGCTATTCTCCAAAGTGCCTGAAGGCAGGACAAGAAGCAACGGATGGAAACTAATCAAGGAGAGAAGCAACCTAGAACTAAGGAGAAACTTCCTGACAGTGAGAATAATTAACCAGTGGAACAACCTGCCTCCAGAAGCTCCAACTTCTGGACGTTTTTAAGAAGAGACTGGACAGCCATTTGTCTGAAATGGTCTAGGGTTTCCTGCCTGAGCAGGGGGTTGGACTAGATGACCTCCAAGTCTTGTACAGAAACTGGGCGTTGTTTGATCTCGACAGTAAACAGGAAGAGCCTCTTATAGGAATTAGGAGGAGAACGTTTCAGCGGCTTTCGTATTAATTTCGTATTATCACATTCTTTCTTTCCCCGTATCTTTCAGAGGCTCCTCCTCTTTTAGGAAGTAGGAAAGCAGAAAACAATGACTTATTTTGAACAGGGCTCCTGCGCAGGGGAGAAACACATTCTTTTGGCGTTAGCGTGAACCAACCTGTCGAAAGAAGGAAACCGCGAGCGGAAAAAAAAATCCTCACCCATTTCGTGTCCTGGTTTTAAAGACTGATTTTTTTAAAAAAAAAACAACAGCAGCAGCAACAACAACAAAAAAAAAACAGGCTCCAAAGTAGCCACCCATCCCAAATCTATTGCACTGTAACTCCCATCATCCCCAGCCGATGGGAGCTCCGACACATCTGTAAGACGCCCAATTTGAAAAAGGCTGGCCTAGAAGCTCCTTGCCGAGATGTGCTGCTAGTCTGGCCTTTTCCAGATGTGACTCAGCTTCAAATCCGCCAGGACGAAGTTCCAGGATCCAAAAGTTCTTTCTTTCTTTCTTTCTTTCTTTCTTTCTTTCTTTCTTTCTTTCTTTCTTTTTCTTTCTTTCTTTCTTTCTTTTTCTTTTTTTTAAAAAAGCAAGATCTGGAACAAACGAGTATCCTGAGCTTGCAACATCTGGAATAAACATATGTATCCCCACGCTTAAGGCCTGCGGGGGAATTTATGACAGATGGAAGCGCGAGTAGGCTTTCTTTTTAAAAAATAATAATAAATGCATCTCAGCTTTATGCCTTTAAGAATCTGAAGGCTGCCGCCACAGGTAATATTTTGTGACTTTCTTCTTAAAAGCCCAATCTGGGGCGTCTAAGTCAGATGCCCTCGGGGGACGTCTTGTACACCTTAGGCTGTTATCTCCCATCCCGGTGTGTGTCTGACCCCCTCCTCTCTTTCTCTCCCCCCCCCAATTGTCATAATCAGAGGGACTCCTGCAGTGTCTGCAGACACAAAGGCCCCAGGCTTGTCTGAACAGAAACCTATTTGTGGAAATGGGGCACTTTGGAAGACGGAGAATGCGCTCCTTTCTTTGCACAAAGGGGAACAATTAAAAGAGGGGGGTGGGAGACGCTCCGGCAGGTGGGTGGTCTTCCCGAGGTCAGGGTTGAGGCCAAGAGACCCTCGTGGTGGAAGGGAAGATAAAGCCAGTGGGTCTTACCTGGCTGGGCGGTGGCAGGGAGGATTTAAGACAGAACTTTTAGCTCCCGGCTCTGCAGAATTTGTGTGTGTCACGCTGTGTGTCTGCTGCATGTGTGTGTGTTTCTGTGTGTGTGTGTAGGGGGAGCAAAGGGCTAATGACTATTAAAGCAAGCAAGGTGCCTCAAAACACTTAAGCATGACTCTGATTATAAAGCAAAATTTCCACAATGGATTTATGCCAGAAATGTAGCACCTAACACGCTAGCTCTGGCGTTCATTTTTTTTTTCACCCCGGCCTACCTCACAGGATGGTTGTGAGGATGAAAGTAGGGATGGTGGGCAAAGCTCCTTGTCAGAATAAGAAAAGGAAGAGATGAATCAACGGACAATCGATTATAAGTAATCCTCGGCTTACCGTAATTCATTCAGTGACCATTTGAAGTTAAAACCGCACTGCAAAAGAGTGACTTATGACCGTGGCAGCATTCTCACGGTGACGTGATCAAAATTCAGACGCTTGGCAACTGACTCGTATTTATGACGGTTGCAGCGTCCCGGGGTGTGTGTGTCACGCGATCCCTTTTGCCCCCCCTTCGGGCAAGCAAAGTCAGTGGGAGAAAGCCAGACTCACTTAACAACAGTGGCAAGAAATGTCATAAAATGGGGCCAAATTCACTTAACATCGGTGCTAAAAAGACATGAGGGCTGACCTCATGTCTTGTGTGTAAAAGCCATGAAAAAGTGAGGTTCCAGATCCCGTTTTTAAATTCATTTTGATCCTGGCTTAGAGGGGGGAAAAAAGGGATGGAAGCGACTGGCTCCAAGCAGGCAGGAAAACTCGGGCTGGGGGTGGGGGGGTGGGGAGGGCTGAGAAGAGGGGAGGAAACTCCTAAGCAGTTGAAAAACACCTCCGACTCAGCTTCAGAAGGAGCTCAGGTTCCTCTCCTTCTTATTTTTCCAGCCCATTTAGAAATCCTCCTTTGATCTATTTGAGAGGGCCCGATTAAGAAATTAATCTCGCAGGGCCCACCGAGGTTATTTCGGCACACAAAAGAAGGAGCTTTCCGACACCGCTTGTTCTTTCTCCAGCCAACTTAAGGCAACCCACTCCTTAAAAATAACCTTGGTTTTTTTTATTTTATTTTCAAGATGCTTTGCCCAAAACATTTACAGGGATCTCTTTAGAGGAGGTGTTTGGATGGGTGGGTGGGGGAGAGGCAGGGGGGGAGCAAGAAACCCTCTTTGGAAAAAGTAAAAAATAAATAGCCACGTTTGCTAAAGTTGATGGCCGGCAGGTGAAGCTTGCAATTCCCAAGCGGAAGCACCGTGCAATTTGGAAGGGGGTGGGGGGGGGAGAGAAAAAACCCACCTATTTGAATCAGCTTGGTGATAATATCTAGTGCAAAAAATAAGAGCAATTCGGCCTCTCGGCTTTCACGGATTTGTTCCAAGAATGAATGGCAGTTCTGAGAAAGAAAAAGAAAAAAGTCTGGCAGACGTGCAGGGATGCTTTCTAAGGGAGGGCTGGAGGGAGAAAAAAATGGTTTTGCATTTGAGTAGCGAAAGCTTTAACTCCTGTACAGGTCTTGTGGGGACCTGTCCATCAAATACTGGAGAATAAGTGCTAATAAGCACACCCCTGTAAACTCAGCAAGACATTTCACACAGAATCTGGGACGGAGGGAACGCGACGTGTGGAGTTATTTTGAGTCCACCTTGAAGGATGGTTTCACAAACCCCCTTGCTAAAGAGGGCAGCGTATCAGAAGGGAAAAGGCCTATAATGTAAAATTGATGGGGGTGGGTGGGTGGGTGGGGAGGCTTGGAGCTGCCCAACTCACTGCCAGCTGGCCACCTCTGAACTGGGTTAACCTCTTTTTCAAGATAGATTTTTTGTGCCTGGCCCCGTTTCAGAAATATTTCACTACGACTAGAAAGGGAACTTGCCATAGACGATCTTCCCTTCGCCGCATGGAGACAAAGAGAAGAGAATTTGGCCAAAGACCCTCGCTTGGAATAATTCTGCCTCCTCCTGGCTGTGCCAAGATTTTTTTAAAAAAAAATCAATTTTGGGGGGAGGGGGGGGAAACAGGAGCCAAGAAAGAGAACGCACCGTTGATTACGAGTGGCTGAGTAACACCGCCGAGGAGAGAACGGCAGAGCGCTGGCATCAAAATGAATCAAAAATTCAAGGATTCTTTCAACGGTCGTAAGTCCCTTTTCTTCAATGCTGTTGTAACTTTGTACGGTCGCTAAGAAAGTGGTGGTAAGCCGGGCATTACCTCTATATACCCTTTTTCAGGGCTGGCATCAGATTTTAGAGAATTATCGGGGCTTCCTTCTTGAAAGCTAGGATCCTGCAAAAGGGGGAGGTTCCTAACTCTACGGTTAGTCCTCCACTTACGAGCACAACTGAGCCCAAACTTTCTGTCGTTAAGTGAGACATTTGTTAAGTGAGTTTGGCCCCATTGCACGACTTTCCTTGCCACAGTTGTTAAATGAACCACTACAGTTGACAGTTAACCCAGTTAAGTGAATCTGGCTTGCCCCACTGGCTTTGCTCGCCAGGAAGTCGCCAAAGGGGGTCACGTGACCATGGGACACGGCAATGGTCGTAAGTGCGAGCCCGTAGCCCAGCCTCTGAATTCTGATCACATGATCATGGGGATGCCGCAAAAGTCGTAAGTGTGAAAAATGGTCCTAAGGCACTTTTTTCAGTGCTGCTGTAACTCTGATGGGTCACTAAATGAACTGTTGTTAAGTCGAGGATTACCTATGTTGTGGTTTCCTACAAACCAGAGTCCTAGAGGGTATTTTGTATAGGCAAATTCCTTCGGGGGACAAATTGGAAAGAAACAGAGGACAAGGGACCACTGAGAAGCAGAATGTACAAGCCGTCTTCAGATTCCATTTGTCTAACTACATGGTGTGCACCCCCCCCCAAGGACCCACACTTAAGTGTTTATCAATTGCCCTATGGTTCTTTGGCTCAAACAGGGGCAGCGTGAATTATTTACGGCGCGTACACAACTTTTCAATTAACCAACCACTTGCCTCTTGAAAACACCCACCCACCATTTATAAGTAGCAATTCCAGACTAAATATCTCATGATGAGCGGGTCACTATGAATTAAAAATGAGCTCCTGATGAAATATTTAATGACAGCTAAAATGAAGGGGGAAGTCAAAGATTTTTTTTTCTTCCATTAAAACCTATCTGTTCGGTAAATTTGACTTGCAAAACCTGCTCGGAGGTGCATTAAGGTACGCAATTTTAGCTTTTTGAGAACAGCGCCGCGTAGAATGCCAGACTGTGCTAACCTAGTAGAATCGGTGTGAATCTTAGAAAAATCAGGACAGTTGATTTGCAGCTCATCGCTGCCCATTTAACATTTTTGATATTTTCAATATATTATCTATCCGAGTCTATTTCAAACCCTTGTCATCCAGAAGTGAAGAACTAAAGATGGTAAAAAGTGGAGGTGGAAGAAGAGAAAGGGAACAGGTAGACACATAAGAGGAAAAAGTGCTTCTCCTTTATTATTTTTTTCTGGACTGGCATATTTTTATTCAGACTGCAAGCCTCAGGGACAATTGTCCAGTTCTACCATCATTGCAGTAAACACTTATTGCACAAATAAAAATTTTAACCACTGCTACCGACTGGATGCTCAGGACCACCCCTGAAGTAGAACATCCAAAGTTGGAGACATAATTTTGGGGGAAATGCATCCCCTTCCAAGATAGATTAAATCCCAAACCCAGTTTAAACCCAGATTTAAAAATCCGAAAAATCCGTTTTGTTCCGCCAGGTGATTTTGCAGCGTTGGGATGCTAATAGCAATAATTCAAATTTGAAACTTTTACCTACCATTAATTGGTGCATCAACAGATCCGTTAAAAAAATAATCTTGTTGCTGAAGAGAACGTAAGTGCAGTTTTCCACACAGTTATTGCAGGCCAGATAATAGGCGCTGATGGTACTACAGAGGGATCTAGGAGATAAAGTGAAATTTTAATCACATTAAGAAGACAAAAATTCAGACAAGACCATATATCTATAATATGAAATGCTTTGTTGCTATGATATTTACACTGCGGCTGAGATGATGATGATGATGATGATGATGATGATGATTACATTACAAATAACTCAAGGTAGTGAACATATCCAACACACAAAATGTAAAGTTTAAACGCTGAAGTTTCTCAAATAACTTTTCTGTGTAGGATATAGGACAAAGTAGGAAGTAGCTATGGCTACCCACCGAACAATATCTGCTCATTTATGTTAGCAAACAGTTTTGCAAACCCCATCAAAGTAATTATTTTCCCATTCATTTTTAAGAATGTTTACAAGAAATCTAATATTAGAGACGGAGCCGATCATTGGCCGAGCTCCTTTCAAGATCACCAGGGAACCAAAAAGATAAAAACCACTTTTCTGTCCAATGGATGATGCCCAGTTGGGAATAGTTTAGGAGAGAAAACTGCATTTGCAAACAAGGTTGGAGAAGGCCTAGAGTGAGGAAACAGGGAAGCAGAGCTCCTTAGACCCAAACCAAGAGGGATTCCTTCCCCTGGAATCTCTGGGGATCCATTTACGGCTTCTTAAGCGTGTGGAAAGAAAACAAAGAAAGGATGCTCTTCCACAGGACTTCACCCGGAGTCAGATGGCAGTCAAGCACAATAAAATCAGCTTATTACTGGTCAACCATGCAGTCCTTCTGCAAACTTTAGTTATTTATTTTTGATTTCAGGTATATTTTAGGAAAGACATTCTAATCTGCGCTCTCCGGACGGAGCAGTTTAGAGTGCCTGTAATTCTCAGAAAAATCAGGAATCCCGTAGCACTTTTTTCTGATAAGTATGTTTTATTAAAGGCCATTATGCTTTCAGCTGATGAAGCTTATGCCTTTTAATAACATTTATCATTTGGGAAAGGTGCTACCAGATACTTGGATCTTTCCCCCCCCCCACCACTGGAGAATAACGTGGCTCTCTTCCTCCCAGAATTTTCAGGTTGGCAACTTGGAGGTGCAAAAAGGGCCACCAGTTTTTTTTGGCTGAAAAGGTGAATCTAATACAATATATCGAATTGGTGATCTGTAGTCTTCCAGGTCTTCTCTCAAATCTTTTGAAATTCCCAGTGCTGGAGATTAAGAGGATTAAACATAGAAGAAGGGAAGGCAAGGGGTTTACCCCAGCATCTTCATCCATTATCCTTAATTTTTATATGCTACATAGCATCACAGTTCACTTGGGACTCCACGCCAGCTCCAAACTCATTCATTGTCAAGCGTAATTCTTGTCCACCAAGCATACACAATAGGTCCCAGGGACAGGTAAGTTTAAGGACTGCTTTTAATTTAAAAAAATAAATGGAAGGACTATGTATCACCTGATGGCTTTTTGCAGCCAGGCAAAAGGGTCCTGGAGGCTCTCTGTTTTAATCTCACTGGGACTAAGGAGATTTGTCTGTTTGTTTATGGGATCTTAGGTTACCGTAGTCTATTTGGAGTTTGTGAATTGGTAAGGGGAATGGTTAAATAACATCCTGCATCTATGACAAGTTGCTACAAGCATAAACCTTGGTTGCCGTAAGAGAAATAGCCATCGAGATTTTTGTAGGAAGACCAACCTTTGTTTCACCAAATTATGGTTTTAACTATTGGATATTGCCTTTTAAGTGTTGGTCCCCGTTCTCTCCTCAGCCTGTTTTAACTGGTCTGGTTGCTATTGGTAAAAACGGTGTTATCACCAGCCCTACAAGGGGTTCCACTAGAGAAAGATTTTACCCTTTAGGATTGGAGCCAGATCAGCTCAAAGATGTAACATGGGATGCTTTTTATAATGGCTCTGCATATATAATGGTACAACAGCTAGCACTGATGATGTTACCTAGTTGGGTAATGAAATGTCTTCAAGAAAACAAACCAAGCTCAGAGAGCACAATCCAACCCTGAGCTGCAAATATTCTCTCCTATTGGCTTTATAATGGTTTTTTCCAATGTCTCAATAGGTTGACTTGGATTTATAAATATATACACACGTACATACTATAGTTTGATTTGAATATAACATTAGAGAGTTTAAACTTGGAAGTTAAGAAATATGTAAAATAGTTATTAAAATGTTCAGTGAGTATTAAGTTGTTGATTCAATATAATAATTATATAAGCACTCTCTTTGATGTCCCGGACCTGAATTGACATCAATATATCCTGCATATAATCAATACTTGTATCTGGGATACTTTATTTTCAGTCAATTAGCAAAAACTACAAATCAATCAAGCTATGAAATTTGCTAACAAAGAAGGTATTCTCTCGACCAAACATACATATAAATTTAAAACAGATACATGACATTTAAAACTAATTATGTCTATCTTTTTTAAATCAAGAATTGAATCCCCCATTTTATATATTTGTATATATGTATATATGTATATATATATATGTTTATCATGTTCCTTTAAAATATCAGCTGATCTAAGTATTTATTCCAGAAAACAGAGGATACTTAAGACTTAATTTGACGAAACAACATTCCTGAATTTGTGGTTTTTCCCACTGATTTTTCTCCTCTGGGATTATCATGTGAGGAGTTTCCAACATTTGAAGAACCACCAGACAGAAAAAGATTCGATATAAACAATGAGTAAACTGATGCCATTTATTTTTATTTATTTTTCAGGACAACATGGTGGGACTTGAGAATCTGGTTTGGAGTGGGCTGGTGGATTCACAAGAGGGAAAGGCTGACATAAGCTTGTTAATGGCTATAATTAGAAAGAATTGAGAAAGATTCCTGGCACAAGTTCAGTTATACTGCTTTTGAAGATTCAGATGTGCAAATGTCAGGAGGGAGCAAGCCCCAGGAGATTGGATGTGTTAAATGGGAGATTTAAGTCAGTAAAACTAATTTCTTTATTTTAATCTTATTTAAAAAAAACAACAGCTGTCAACTGTCACCACTTTTTTTTTTTCAAAGTCTCCCAGACAAGCATCAAATGGTTGATGTTTTCAAGCCGGTTTATTGTTTTAACTTGTGATATACCCACTTGACAAAAGCCCTTTTGCAATTTGGCTGGTTAAGGGGAACTATTATTACTTTATTATTATTTTAAAATTTCCTCCCAACTTCACTCCGCCCAAATGCCCCCAGAAGAAGGAGAAGAAAAAAAAAGAGAAAAGATTATGATGGCACCTAACACAGTTGCTCGGGGGATTGCTACTGAATTAAACCAAGCTTGAGCATTACTAAATCAGCTTTAAGAGCTGATGGCACAGCATTTGACTGGACAGTTTTGCGTTGATCATAAATCCCAATAAAACTGCTTAATTTTCTTTAAGAGGGGCTGTATTGAAATTAACTGAAAGAATAAATCATGCCGGGTTTATACGTTTCGCACTATTTAGCAAATAAAAATTATCTCTTGAATAAAAATCCAGTCACTGATGGAACATCTTCGGAAAGGAGTCTTTAGTTTTTTTGAGCCCACCCATCGACACCCAGGATGCCAAATCTCATTTGTGCCTTAATTTTCAGAGCCTCTGCTCGGCTTTTCTTCTTGCTGGAGAGAGATTTATAAATCTGCCGATTTTGTTCTATTGCACAGATAAATTCTTGCCTTCAGTTATGCAACTGTTAAAGGTGAGACGTTTAACATTTGCAAGCCATTCTTCAAAAAATTTCTGTTTATTTATTTTTAAATAAAGGTATCTAATGAAAGAAATAATCCCTCCAGCTTCTCCAGTACAGAAGGAAGAAGTTTTGATCCAACAGAGTTACACAGAATTTAGAGTATTTGGTTGCATTTAGAGAAACTAAGTTCAAATATTTGCGCAACTCTAAAACTTAATATATATTTATTTTTAGGGTTTGAAGGGTGTTCTGGGAATAACATCCAGCTCCTGAAGGAAACATTGGAAATGAATTAAAAACAAACACATTTGTTTGATCCCTATACTAAATCACTTCTGTTTTTTCCTAAACCAGGGGTCTTCAAACTTGGAGTTGAAGTCCACAAGTCATAAAAGGGCCAAGTTTGAAGACCCCTGTCCTAAACGAATAGACTGCAAGACACTTATTTATCGGAAAGCACAAAACCAACGTAAGGGAACAAGAAGAGTTTGCNTTTTTTTTCCTGCTTGAAATTGACTGATTGATTGAACCTTTCTTTTGCACACGGCAGTGGAGGCCTAAAGCGAAAAGGTTTTATAAAACCCAGCTGAAGGCCTAGGACTGGAGTGATGGTGCGCGTGCCCACAGAGAGGGCTCTGAGTGCCGCCTCTGGCACCCGTGCCATAGGTTCGCCACCACTGGCCCAGGCCCACTCGATTTTTACAACATTACAATCTGAGCAGCTGCAGAGATCCATGGATGGAGTTGACTTAGAGAATGTCTCCATTGTTCCTTGCAAGGGAGTGATTTACACCTTGGGTTCTACCATAAGAGAGATGGTTCTTTAGCTTACCTGAGAAGCTGAGAACACCTGGTGGGTGTTACCAAGTGAGCTAGGGTAAGAAAATACTGACTTATTTAGGGCTTCAATCTATCTATCATGGAGGTTTGACTCCTTGAGTAGAAGAGAGGCACACCCAGACTTCGGACATGTTGTTTTGAGCCAGGTCTACCTTGTTGGTAAAACTTCTGAAGAAGGACACAGCCATGAAAAAAAAAATCTCTATAAACCATCTGACAGATGGACAGCTAAGAAAACTCCAGCCAGGTAGAAAAGGAGCCATGAATTTATTGACCGGTCTAAAACTAGCAAAGCAGCATCAGACTTACTTCAAAGGGATTCTTGAAATGGAATTCAGGTTGATGGACGTTGTTGCAACTTGAAGGACTTGCTCCAGAGCGGAAAACCCACCAGCCACGTGGAAGGCGACCTGATCTGCCACATTCTGGAGAGGAGGACACAAAAGGAAGAGTGGGAATATTAATGGGGTCTTGCTTTGAAGCAGGGCATCAATTCGTTGGTTGAAGGCTACCATTCTCACATTCCCTGGAAGAGATCGAGAGGGAAATTGGTGCATCTTCAGTGCTGGATCATTAGCATTTGCATGGCTAATTAGAAAAAGGTTTAGAATTGACACAGGACTCAGGACAGATTCACACCCTAAACCAGTGTTTTATTATTATTATTATATTTAAATTTATATCCCGCCCTTCTCCTCGCGGACTCAGGGCGGCTGACAATCAATTAAAATACATAAATGACAATTACAAATTTAAAATTAATTAAAAATAAATATTTTAAACATAGTCCAATTAAAATATAATTAAAACCCCTCTAAAAATTACCCTAGGCCAGTCCTGCAAGCTGGAATAACCAAGTCTTAAGGGCGCGGCGGAAGGAAGGGAGATCAGGGATGACCCTGATCTCTGGGGGCAGTTCATTCCAGAGGGTGGGAGCTCCCACAGAGAAGGCCCTCCCCCTTGGGGTCGCCAGCCGGCACTGTCTGGCCGACGGCACCCTGAGGAGACCCACTCTGTGGGAGCGTACAGGTCGATGGGAGGTAATCTGCGGCAGGAGGCGGTCTCGAAGGTATCCGGGTCCGATGCCGGTTTAGGGCAGTGTTTCTCAACCTTGACAATTTTAAGGCATGTGGACTTCAACTCCCAGAATTCCACAGGCAGCATTGCTGGCTGTGGAATTCTGGGAGTTGAAGTCCACATGCCTTAAAATTGTCAAGGTTGAGAAACACTGCGGCCTAAACCGTCATGAGTCTGGTTGGGTTGAGCCTAAACCTCTGTGGTTTGAAAACCATGATTAATGGTTTAGTAGGATGAGTGAACTCAGCCAACAGTTGTGGGTGCAATACACCATGGCTGTACAAACCACGGACTAGCATGATGGGTGCTACCTCTGGGGTGATGTGGTTCCAGAGGTCAGGAGCCATGACAGGGAAGACATGCTTCTTTGCTCCCACAAGAAGACCACACTTAACAGAAGAGACTAGGAGCATAATTACTCTTCTGGAAAGTATTGGGTAGGCAGAAACAAATGGAGATAGAATTAATTATTTGGGTTTCTGTAGTTTTCAGACCAAAAATATTTAGAAGAGGAATATCTACATACAGTAGCTGAAGAAAATGCACTGATGGTTTGGCAGGCAAGAGAAACAGAAAGAAGAATCGTCCACGCCAGGATATTTTGCTACCCCTTGTCTCCAATGACCCTTCTAATTCAACTGGTCAAGGTCTCACGTTACAAAAAACACCAACCCCTGGTTTAATGCTAAGATCGGTCAGCAGAGGTCAGCAGCACGGCAGCAGCAAAGCCTCAGCAATGGACATGACTTCAGAGTGAGGGAGTCAAGGTATCAAACTACTAGCGATCTAGTTCACCATTGAATTCTGTGGGGCTTGACAAACCCCACCCCCCAAAAAAAGCAACACCAAGGTTTGTGGCTCATGAGAAAACTCCATTTCCAAAAAATCTCAGTTGTTATAGAATATTTGTAGCTCAGGGTTGAACTGTGGGATCCTGGTTGCTCTCTGCTGTTTTTATGCAGACATTTCATTATCCAGCTAGGTAACATCATCATACCTAATGATCACAAGCACCATCAACACCATCAGAGCACTGGTGATGCTACGTAGTAGTAGTAGTAGTAGTAGTAGTAATAATAATAATAATAATAATAATAATAATAATAATAATAATAATAATAATAATAATAATAATAATAATAGTAACGTTGGAAGGGACATTGGAGGTCATCTAGTCCAACCCCCTGCTCAGGCAGGAAACCCTACACCATTTCAGACAAATGGCTGTCCAGTCTCTTCTTAAAAACTTCCAGTGTTGGAGCATCCACCGCTTCTGGAGGCAGGTTGTTCCACTGGTTAATTGTTCTCACTGTCAGGAAGTTTCTCCTTTGTTCTAAGTTGCTTCTCTCCTTGATTGGTTTCCATCCGTTGCTTCTTGTCCTGCCTTCAGGCGCTTTGGAGAATAGCTTGACTCCCTCTTCTTTGGGGCAACCCCTGAGATATTGCAACACTGCTATCCTGTCCCCCCTCGTCCTTCTCTTCATTAAACTAGACATACCCAGTTCCAGCAACCGTTCCTTATATGTTTTAGCCTCCAGTCCCCTAATCATCTTTGTTGCTCTTCTCTGTACTCTTTCTAGAGTCTCAGCATCTTTTTTGCATCGCGGTGACCAAAACTGGATGCAGTATTCCAAGTGTGGCCTTACCAAGACATTGTAAAGTGGTATTCAGGTGATCTTGATTCTATCCCTCTGTTAGTTGGGTAATGAAACATCTGCAAGAAAACCAAGCTCAGAGAACAATCAGGACCCCACAGGTCTCAGTAGGATTATCAAAATCTAAAGGAAATAGGGGTAGCAACAGACGGAAATAACTCCATCAACCACGCTCCCTGCTCCAACACACCCTTGACTTGAAGCCATCCTGTGTTCGTCTACTTGGAAATGACTCTAACGAACTGAACGAGGAAGTATAGAATTTGTATCCTAAATTGTATGAACAAGGACTTACAGAGGCAGACTGAAAGCCAAAGGGCCAAACAGATGAACATCAGACAAACCACAAGGATCTAAAGCAGAGGTTCTCAACCTTTTTAATGCCGCGACCACAACCGGTCGTACGTCGAGGACTAAACCGGTCGTAAGTCGAGGACTACCCAACCGGTCGTAAGTCGAGGACTTTCCCTGCCCGGGAGCGCCGCGCATGCGTGGTTCCGCCCCCTGCGCCGGCCGAGGCGTAGCTGGCAAGCGGCAGAGACGGAGCAGGCCGACCACCAGCTAGCCCAGCCCAAGGGAGGTAAGGCACCCGCCGGAAAAGGGGGAAAAATGGCGGACAAAAAAATGGCGGACAGCCTTGCTTGGCGACCCCCGTGAAATGGTCGATCGACCCCAAATGGGGTCCCGACCCACAGGTTGAGAACCACTGATCTAAAGGAAGATTTTTAAAGCAGGAGTCTCCCAACCTTGACAATTTTAAGACCTGTGGACTTCAACTCCCAGAATTCCCCAGCCAGCCTAGCTTTCTCAGTTTTCAGAATCTTTTTTTTTTTTAAATGAAAAACACATCCT